ATAAAGAAAGTGTCCAAGTAATATAGGAAAAACTATTTAACAAATGGATTTGGATGCTCATGAACAACAAGTTAGACCTTTGGAAAGAAATCTTTTTGTAGCAGAACAAACTGTAGAAACTTTACAGAAACAACCATCAGATGCCAAGAAAGAAGTCTGATGATCAGGAATATTATGGAGACCTGTGGAATGCTGCTGCTTTTCCAACACCGTCTAGTGTGACTCCAACTTACGAATCAACTAAAGATAAGGTCATATAAGAGGAATAAATCTTCTCTTGAAGAACCTTCAGTCCCAGAAACAAGATTTCCTAAAGCAAAATCAACTCTTAATTTTACGGAATGTTTCCACGTTTCAAGCAGATACTAATTATACTTTTGGAAAAGAAAATATTAAACTTAAAGGAATAATTGACGCAGAAATCAAAACTTCGAAAAGATGCAAAATAACAAACATTTAAGGTACAGGAACGAAATAAGAAAATATATAACACATATAACCATTGAGGATGTTCTTCAAAATGTTTTAAAAGTAATGATTTAGTAGGAATCAAAAGAATGCAATTTGGATCAAACTTTAAATTAAAATCAAAATATTTAGGCCCGTATAAGATTACAAAAATAAAGAATAATGACACTTATGATGTTGTAAAAAACGATCTTGAACGACCCATCTAGCGCTAAATACATAAAACACCGGAACCAAACAGAAGAACATGTATAGAATAATACTGATTATGACATTTAAAGCTGGAGTGATACAACTGATAAGCGACCTGTGATCTTTCACCTAATAATAACTTTTATTTCAACTAATTTTGTTTTAAGATGAAATGTAGCATTCTAAAAATGTTACAGTTGGAGTTTTTCATTTCAGATGAAGAGTTTTGAAAAAAATGGGGGGGGGGAGTCAGTTGACGACGCTACTGCTGCAAAGATGATGGACAATTAAGATATTTCCTTTCAATATTACATTTAGCACACAATCTTATCCTCTCTCTTCATATTAATTTTAATTTTCAGATTTTGGTTTATTCATGATGATGGTTCCTTTTACCGAAGACTACGATGATTTAAGATGACCAATGTTATCAAGAGTAGAATAATGTCATCGAGGTCGACAGATATCAGGAAGTCTGAATGTTGGATTCTAACTCTATAGCCTAACATTTTTCTCGCAAGGTATCTAATTTTTAACTGTTTACTGCATGAGTGAAATTGATGGAACTCTCATCGCTTTGTTTTGTGAAGTGAGATGAACGATGTTGTATATGTATTAATGATTCATTAAAGTGTTTTGTTTCAAAATATACTGTGATTACCCAAGACAAGATCCCACATATATATATATGTAAGTTATAACAAAATAAAATAGCTACTTTTAAAAATAATTGGCAACATCAAAATTAATGATTTTAGATTTGATGCTCTTTCCCTAAATTCATCTGTTCTCCCAAATTTGAGATCCTTCCATGATTATATAACAGCTCACAAATAAACTGCGTAATCTATTTCTCCTAGCTTCCTCCATGCCAGCATCTACGTTGCTTTGCTTGTTTGTCTAAGAGGATATTGCCTCGTTAATCTGTGTATGTAAGAAATTATTGTAATTGTTTATGTTAAACAAATATATTGTCTAAGATGAATTATTCTAATGTGCCTGAAAATAAAGATGGTAATTAGCTGAACTTGGTTTAGAATCAACATCTTTGTCCCGTCTTGCCGCTCTGCTATCACGACTATGCATTAAAAATATTACATATATGAACCAATAATTTAAAATAGAGAGTTCAAGCCAAATTGAAGTTAAAAAAATAAATGAACAGGGGCTCTGATGCAGTTAGTGTCATAGCTTCGTGTACAGTTTCAGGGGTTCTAACCCAGTTAATATACTTTAAGGTTCCAATAAGCCATTAAAGAACCAGAGGTAATAAGTAGTTTTGTATTATTTCAAGTCTCGCTAGATGCAAAGAATAAGTTTTACTTGAATTTTTACGTTTTTGTGTTTATCTGTGACTACAGTGTATTAATGAAAGGCAATAACTCGCTTTAATACGTAAGAATTTTAAGTAAGCAGTTAGTTATAAATAATTATTAGGTAATTAGATAACATTAGTCTTGGATGATTTACATGCCACAAATTAAATTTATTTTTAACAATATTTGTTAAAAAGCCCTATTAAAATAAATCTACTCAAATTTCACAGTTTAAAATACATGTAATTTATAACATTGTTCTTACAATATTAGGACACATAAACCTTAAAAGCTTAAACAATTAAATTTTATATTTTAACAATTTGTTAAAAAGCTCTATTAAAATCAAAATTTAATCAATTTCACAGTAAAATACATGATTTATAACATGAGTCTTAAACGATATTAGGACACATTAAAAACATTAAAAGCTAATGTTTTGTACAACAACACTCAACAAAATATTATCCATCATTTTATTTGAAAGCCTTCCCAAATTTTGGCTAGTTTATATCAATTTCCTCTCTTTAAGCATCTTTTTAACAATTAGAGATTTGTCTCAAAATGCAAACCATGCTCTCGCTAGTTTCTGCATCAACCTAACTGCTTTCTCCTAACTGTCAACCTCTCCACATGTACCTAGAGGGTTTACTTGATCTGATAAAGTTAAATAGTCGAAAACCCAACTGATGGGAAGCAAACTTCGCTAATGTCTGAAAATAACTAAAAATATCGCAAAGGTTTAAAATAAGACTCTTATATAAAAAGAACTTAGAATACAACGGCATGTTCTGATGCTAAAAAAATCATTTTTAAGCTCACGTGACGTAATTAAACAAACAGTCAAATTCAAACTAAAAAATGGACTAGGGTCAAAGATAATACAATTTATTTTAATTTAATATGGCTCAGTAACCCCATCATATGAAAAAACAGAAATGGAAAAAGTAGTAAAGGCTGAAATCATAAAACATTGGGTAATTACATAAAATACTGCACATTTCTTTGAAGAATAATTTTCTTGTCTTCTTATTTCTTTTCTTCAACACATTTCTTTTCATTTAGAATTTTTGGATTTAATTAAAGTTTCCGTATCTAAAAAACATGAAATGATTTAGATGCATAGAAATGGCTAATTTAATTCTTAGTAATATAAACATTCAGAAGAAATATATATGTAAAGCAGTACAGAGCCACTGTGGCAGAATTTTAGAATTTAGTGACACACCAAACGAAAAATCTGGAAATGGCAAAACTTTTAGAATTAAGCAGGCATTAGAACAGAATTAGGCTCACAGAGATTGCATCAGGTGGGAAATGCCCTAGTGCCAGCTGTGTATGAGCATTGAAAACATATTAGATGAATCTTTAAATTGTAAGTTTCAATTTCTTTAATAAAAAAATCCCGTCTAAATGCTTGCCCATGTGACAAGATTAGAAGCATTTTTGATATGTTCTATGCTTGTGTCTAGTGAAAGTAGAGAAATAAAAGGAAGATAAACATGTTAATAAAATGATCTAGTATAAGGGGTAAACATTCAAATATTATGTTTCATTGTTCTTCCAGACGTCTCCAAAAGTGAGAAATTCATAGCAAAAACTTTCAGTAAATACATCCATTATGTTGATACCATGGAGACATTTTTTTTTTGTCACATATTCTCGAATCTTCTAGAATCATGGTTCATAAATATTGCCTTCAAATCTTTCTAAACTTTCCAAAATACTAAAGAAAAATTATCCTACTATTCAGTAACAGAAAAAGCCATAAATATTTTGGAAAAAAAAAGGGGGGAAAAAAGCGTAAAATTAATTTATAGAGAAAAAACTGATACATATTCTGAAATTTTGACTATTCCAAGACAATTACATGGGAAAAACTTTTACAATGAAAAATTAAAAAGAGAATTTTTAACTAATTACTAGCTAATTTTGCTTTGCTAAGAGCCATTTCGTAAACTGTGCTTTATAGCTTATACCTTCTTTATTTTTCAGAATCAAAATATCTATAATAAGTCCCCAAATGAAATTTTATATATACAGACAAATTTAAAAATGTTTTATTTTAATTTATTTTTTAAATATATTTTAAATATCATTATTTTAATATTTATCAATGTTAGGTTGTTTGAAAAAAAAATCGTCCAAACATTCGCAGATCTCAGAATTAAAAATTTTCTATAGAAACTGATCTTAAAATCGTCAAAATGTTGATAAGTCGCCAAATTTACAACCGTTTAACAAAAGAATTCACATCTCCAAAAGTGAAAAGTTGTTTAAGAACTTTCTATTAGAAAAAATGAATTTCGAAATGCTTATATCTCACTTCTTGCTTAAAAACTCGAGTATCCCTCAATATATTAGAAATAGAAACAATTATAACTCATAAACCCATTAAAAGATAAAACCATATATGCCAGTGAATCGCTGAAAATATTCCTCCAAAATGTAATATTAATCAAAATGGCAATTGTAAAAGAGACAGAATTTCAGATGATTAAAATTAAGGACCTTCTGCTGATTTGGCCAAAATTAAGGACTTTTAAGGATGAAAAATCGAGTCCAAAATATCTAAGGACTTTTAAGGACTCTTAAGGACCGTACGAACCCAGATATAGAATTACTGTTCATATGATTTTTTCCTTTTAATTTGCCCACATTTTATATGTCCTTTTATCATCTATAAAGAAGCTTGCATGAAATAATAATTTTGAACCCAAAATAAAAGTTTGATAATTAAATACGACAGAAAAAATTAGAAATATTAAATAAAGTGAGACGAATTATTTAAATTAAATTACAACACAGAAATGAGGCAGAGAATTTGAAATTTTCTGAGAAGATTGATCAGATATAGGATGTAACATTAAATTGCATTTACTTAGTAAAAATATTAATGATCATTTAGCAATCAATAAAACAAGATCTGATTTAGCTACAGATAACATAAGAAAATATTTCAAGTACATCATAAAAATTAAAATATTTAAAATGAAGGAAAGATTAAAAAAAAAAAAAACATACCCAGTTATCAGGGAAAAATTTATCAACAATTTCTCGCATTTTTGCATGATGATTATTCAATATTTCTGGAGCAAAATATAGTATAACATAAAGCATAGCTGCTTGGGTAGCCAAAGCAGTACTTCTGTGTTCAGGTAAAGGGTATGCTGAAACCTAAAAACAGAATATTTCATGCATTTCTGTGCTAATATCAATAATTAAAACGATGATTCAAATTAACCTAATATTTTGATATATTATAATGGATATGCCTAAAGACGAATTAAATCAGAAATGATCTGCAGCATGTATCCTGATGAATTTCCGAGGGTTCTGGATTAAATTTTTTCTCCTCAGGACATACTTTTTCAGAACTTAAAATACCTATATATTTTAATTGCATTGATTTTATATTCTAATTTTTCCACTGAACCATGAAATGCATACAATAAGTAACTGTCACAATTTTTTACAAGAATATCATTTTTGGAAGACTTAAGAAATGTCCACTTTCTACTTGTATCACATTAATAAAATAATATATAAATTATATGCAGGAAATAAAATATAAATAAACATCACATATTTCATCCAAAAATGCACAAAACCATTATGTTACTCAGAGAATTAGCAACTTGGAAAAAGCGGTAAAACTAAACATTAAGAATCATTTGTCTTGCCTAAATAAATGACAAAATTAGTAACCTAACAGATAAATTACACAAACAAATATTGCAGTTTGATTTTTAACAACCAGTTCATCAAACAAAAAATATTTTAGGACTTGGATCTGCTGAAATCATGGAAACTGAGTCTCACTATTGTTTGTAAGCATCAGACATAAATAAATGTAGAATAAAACTGAGCAGAAATACAATAATGTATAAACTCAACTATGTATATGTATTTGACATAAATATATTCCTATTACATAAAAATCCTTACAAGATATTCTTGAATTAAATACAGGTGTCCATAAATTCTCAATCACTTTAATGAAAATGTATCATGTGCGTGCAAAGGTTTTCAGCATTATCTGTAAAAAGCTCTAGTACACTGTTTGAAAAGAGTAAGTTGATAGTGGTACACAGCCTGATACCTAGTTGCTCAATAAAATGAGTTCATACTTCATTTGACATGGCTTGTGACAAGACACAATTTCAACCTTGCATGCTATATCTTTTCAGCCTTGGAAGATCTGCTGCAAAAGCCAGAAGATAAACTAAACAAACATATGGACTGGTATACCGGTGGACAACACTGGTACAAAAGAATGGTTTGCCAGGATCAAGAAGGAAGATTTTGATCTGCAAGATAAGCCAATACGTGGAAGATCACAAGAATTTGAAAATGATGACGAGATCAAACTCAAAGAAGATCTGCACCAAATAACCAAGGACTTGGGATAAGAAGATTGAAGTTAACCATTTGACAGTTGTTAGGCATATATTGATGAACTTAAGAAGATCCAGAAAGCAGATATATAAATCCCACATGAGCTTATAGAGCTGCGACATTGAGAGTCATCTGAAAACTTGAGTATCAATTCTTGCTCACCATAAAAGACAGTTGCTTCCGTGGAAAATATCAACTACAGATGAAAAGTGGGTTTAATATAATAATTTTAAACATCGAAAATCATGGATAAGTCCTGGACAGCCTTCAGTTTCCATTGATAAAAAAATCTGATGTGTACACCACATGACTTCCTTGTACGGAATATTAAATTATGCACATTTTTTCTTGCATTTCATTTAAACTTATTGGGTTGAATTAAATCTACTTTGTCGATAACGCATAAACCACAATAGAATAAATGCACTCTTTAAAATTCACTAGATTTGTTTACCATAGTGACACTCTGGCGGTAGGTTCACTTAAAAGCGTTATATTTCGTTCATATTAATTGTAGAATGCTCAGACTATTAATACTCATATTAATACTCAGAATGCACAAAATTTATATCATTTAAAAAATTATGTAATCGTTGCCACATGTTCTATTCAAATACTCTAATATATCTAGAATGATGTATAAAAGAAATTAAGAAGTAAGCAAACAAAAAAAGAAACAGTTTTCACAGACGATTCAGTATTTCTCATTCAATTAATTCAGTTCTCACTTCGGGACAAGTCAAAAATACATAAAAACTCAAAATATCTGTATTAAAAATATGAAGAAAAAATTTTTACGAAGTAAATCTTAAACGCTAATTTCCTTGAAAAAATTCTAGAAAGGATTAAGCATGATTTAATTTGCAATGAGATACATTCCGCAAGAGAAGAAGAGGAAAAGTGTGGTTATGTGCTCTAGAAACAACAACACCCGCATGTGCTGTGTTTACAATGGAGTCGATAGCAGATATTCCGCTGAAAGTAATTGATATTTTGAATTTAGAAATTTATGACTCTTGCCAGAAATTAAAAAATATGCTTGGAAATCATTTATATTTCCTTGATGTCAACAAGAAGGGTCTTTTGTAATTTAAGGAAAACTATGTGAACAATATTCATTTCAAAGTAATGCCGGATAGCACAGTACTTACAACAAGCTGTGTGAAGGCCGAAATTATGAAACATCTGTGCAATTTTCTTTAGGAAACGAGGTAAGATTTATAAATTTTTCTTATGCATGATGCTTACCAGTATTAATAATGTTTTCATTAAGATTATTAAGTGTATATCAGTTAATTGAAAACTATTCCCGAGACATTGAATAATGTTTTCTAAACTTTTAAATGTAAGTGTAATAATAGTATATTCATAGTTCATGAATAGTCGTTCTAAATTACTGGAATAGCCGAATTCGTGAAAGATCTGTTTATCTGCAAGAACATAAATACAAAGCCAATTTTCTCTTATTAATAATAATTAGTGTCATAAAATATTTTATGGAGCTAAAATTTTATTAATTTCATCGGGATATGTTTTAATATTTTAGCTGTTGTAATTCGTTTTCAATGAATACACATAAATATTGGAATGTTAATTTTTTTTTAATATCTTCCATTGTAGATATTAAGGATACCAACAGCTGTAATATTAGAAGCATCTGTATACTGAAACATTTTGATATAAAAGGTTGCTTTTATAAGAATTTATACTTAATTTTTAATTTTTATGGGAGATTGCCGAGTTTTTTTAGTTTAAATATTAAATTAGCATGTATATTTAGTCCTTGAAAATCAGTGGTTGTGTCAGTCCATAGTTTGAGATAACATGTGCATTAGAATTACGCTAGTCTATTTCCTATGGTAGATCTTCTCAATAAATACACTTGAAAATCTGTTTGAGGTACATGATTTTAAAATAAAAAATTCTGCACATAAATTATGTAACTGACAAGATTAAAAATTACTTCAAATTTATTTTTTAAATATTTAAATATATACAGAAAGTACTTTTATTATTATTTATTATTATAAAATGAAGAAAAATGTATATGAAAAATTATTAGTTTCACAGCTAGTACTGCAGTGAACTCCAGTTGCAAACATCTATATTTTTTTTTACATTTATATTATAGTATACAAAATGAGTTAATTTGCAGTTTATACTATCAATAGGATAATAATAGTCAGTTGCTAAAAATTAAATTTTAAGTTGTACAAAATTATATACTAATTTGAGTCACGCAGAACATTGGCATCATTATCCTTACATGATTTAAGGGCCAACTGCATTTACAGTGCTCCGGAAATTTGAGTATTATGATTTTCAGAAACCAACTATTTATATACTGTTCTGCTTGTTAAGCTGATAAAATTATGACTCAAAAATATTAATAGTAACTTTCCTTTCAGTGTAGAAGAGCAATCTATGTAAACATGATTTTATGTATTCATTTTTACTTTTTATAAATGAATTAATTATCAATCAAGGAAAGAATTCATACATAAAAAGAATATAAAATACAATAAAAACCATAGAAAAGAAAAGAGTATCATAAAGAATACAAGACACATAAGAATATCCAAAATTATACTAACCAAATGAATGAACAGTTAATGGATGAATAATAATTAAAGATGAAATGCAAATTTCATAACTAATTAAAAATAAACAAAGTTTCCGAATTTTCAACACATCTACCGCAGCACAAGCTTGTTTGTTTATAATAGCAGTTCTTACGTCACATGACTTCCAATGTCTCCGGAATGTATCTCATAATAAATAAAGGCGTTATCTTTGTTGTTGCAAAGCTTAGTCTCTCTAGATTGGCAACAAATCTACTATTCTGCTACTTCAAATGTAAACAAATATGTCCGCCATATATTTTTTAATCACACTTAAACAGCTTTTAAATTGTTGATTAATTCTACAAATATTGCTTGCAGATTTACTAAAGGCATAAAATCCTTAACCGGAAGATTAGAACATCACAATTTAATCATTTTAAAGCAAAATTAACACAATTTACAAACATATAAGAGTAAAAAAACATAGATCACTGAGCCGGGTAACAGAGTGGATATACATATGAATATTTATATACATTGGTGCGGCCGATAGCAACCAAAATACGAGGTACACATCTACAGTGTCTCACAAAAGTGATGGGACACTTGTGCTTTACAATAGGAAACTGTAGTAAAATAAATTAAAAAAAACACGTAAAAATTTTTTTGTGGGTGTGTTTTCATACTTAAATTAGTGACAATCATTACATAACATACACTTTTTCTCAAAATATTAAATATTAATTTAATAAAAATAGAATTGTTTAGAACGGAGCAAAAAATTGCTCACATAAGCGATGGGACATTTACTTTTCCATCAAATATTTATCAAAAAATTTTACTTTTTAAAAGGTTTTTAATTTGTTGGATTTCCTTTTACTTTTAAAACATGATTTAATCTTCTGGGATGGATTCGACTAATTTTTTTGTGATTTCTGGAGTGATTTTACCCCATTCTTCTTGAAGCACCAATTTTAATTGTTGTTTTGAAAAAATGGTGTGTTTGTGAATTCTTGATTCCAATTCTTGCAAATATTCTCTATGGGATTTAAGTCTGGAGATTGCGGTGGTGTTTTTAATAATTCAGGACAGTTATACAGCAACCAGAGTCTAGCGTTCAAAGCAGTGTGCTTGGTGTCATTGTCCTGGCAGAATTTAAAATCGTTATGAAGGTTCAATTTTCGTGCTGAAGATTTTAAATTTTGATTTAAAATGTCAATATACTTGTACTGATCCATTATACTGTCAATAAAAATAAGATTACCAACTCCAGCGGACGACATACACTCCCATACCATAACTCCTCCTCTACCATGTTTTACTGTTGGCACCAAGTTCTGTTTGCGAAATTCTTCCCTGGGTTTTCTCCACACGACGATTATACTGTCAGAACCAAATATATGAAATTTACACTCATCAGCAAATATAACTTCATTCCAGTAATCAGAATTCTTATTTATGCTGGATTTTGCGAAAGCCAGTCTGAGTTTTCTATTCTTTTCACTTATGAAGAATTTTTTCCTGGCTGCTCTACCGTGATATTCAGCAGATCGAATTACTCTTTCAATAGTCTCACGAATAACAATTGCTCCATATAATGCTTGTCAATCAGCAGCAACTTTAGGAGCACTAATTCTTGGACTTTTTTTTTAAATATTTCGAACGATAATTCGCTTTATTCCATTGGATAGCTTTGATGGTCAGCCAGGTCTTCTTTTATCCTGAATCATATGATTCTTTTTATATCATTTAATGATACTGAAAACTGTTGAATAACTCAAGTTAACTGTTTCAGCAGTTTCTTTAAGAGATTTTCCACGTTCAATATGCAAATTAATAACTAATTTTCGAATTTCAGGCAATGTTTCTTTTCGTTTAGCATTCATGGCTGCACAGAGCTAAAAAAACACAAAAATTCCAAAACAAACTGGAGAGAAATACTGCAGACGATTTTATAAATTATTACCAATTGCTTCTGAGTAAAAATAAAAAACCCCAAAATATTTTTATTGTAGTATGTAGTAGTATCTAATGGTGTCCCATCACTTATGTGAGCCATTTTTTGCTCCGTTCTAAACAATTGTATTTTTATTAAATTAATATTTTTAATTTTTGAGAAAATGTATGTTATGTAATAATTGTTACTAAATTTAAGTATGAAATACCCACAAAAAATTTTACATGTTTTTTTTAATTTATTTTATTAGTTTCCTTTTGTAAAGCACAAGTGTCCCATCACTTTTGTGAGACACTGTACATGTTATTGCAGTGCTATAAACAAAATTTCAATGTTCTGAGGCTACTCGTTTTCGAGTTATGCGAGATACGTTCGTACAGACGCCATGAAAAATTCTCTTCAGAATTCATTTTAAAGCAGTTTTATATATATATTTTTTTTTGGATGAAAAGAGTCTTTTATTCCGTCTTTACGGGCAGATGTTATGCAAAAACATCGTTAAATTGCATTCGATAAAGGTCAAAATGGATATTTTTGTTGAAATATGCTGTCTGAAACTTTTCGCGATTACAATACTTCCTTTTTACTTCATACAAGGGAGTAAAAAATACAAATGGCAAAATCTTTTGTTGAGCATCTGGTAAGATATGAAGGGTATGCTCAATTAGATATTGCTAAAGCCTGGTGAAATCATCAATGCTAAACATTACAGTAATCAGCTGCTGCATTTAAGTGAAAAAAATGAGAAGCGACCTTTTAATGGCCAAGGAGTGCAACAGGTAATACAGTCAAAAGTCTTTAACCCCGACGTCCATAATCCGGACCTCAAAGCTACAAACTTTCTGCACATGCGTCAACATATAATACCTTTATGCATGCGCATAATACGTTTAAGCATGCGCATTTAATGTATAACGGACGGTATAAGCTAAGCTAAAATGATCTAATCATCTATTTCAGTTAATGTTGCAGATTGCGTTGTTACTTAATCTTTTAATTGGATCCAGCTTATTATTTTTTGCAGAATGTTAGAGCAATTTTATAAAAGTAAACTTGAACTTTCGATTATGTCAAAAAGAATTTCTGATTCTGGAGCTACCAAAGGATCTACAAAGCAAAAGCATGTTTCGATGTCCATGAAACAAAAAGTGGAATTGCTGCAAAAAATGGATAAAGGCATATCCTTTGATTCTCTAACCATTCCGAAATTGATAAACATATTTTAAATTGATAAACAAGATTAAATCATGTTTTAAAAGTAAAAGGAAATCCAACAAAATATTAAAACCTTTTAAAAAGTAAAATTTTTTGATAAATATTTGATGGAAAAGTAAATGTCCCATCGCTTATGTGAGCAATTTTTTGCTCCGTTCTAAACAATTCTATTTTTATTAAATTAATATTTTGAGAAAGTGTATGTTATGTAATGATTGTCACTAAATTTAAGTATGAAACACACCCACAAAAAATTTTTACGTGTTTTTTTAATTTATTTTACTACAGTTTCCTATTGTAAAGCACAAGTGTCCCATCACTTTTGTGAGACACTGTAGATGTGTACCTCGTATTTTGGTTGCTATCGGCCGCACCAAATGTATATAAATATATTCATATGTATATCCACTCTGTTACCCGGCTCAGTGATCTATGTTTTTTTACTCTTATATGTTTGTAAATTGTGCTAATTTTGCTTTAAAATAGGGGGGGGAACGACGCGGCGCGCAATGAACTAGAAGTTGATCTGTCAGCACTATCCTTATCTTCAGGGCAGATGTTTTCATTTTATTCGGCTTATAATTCCTTACTAAATGTAGTACTTCATCTCGATGTACTCTGTCTTTGATATGATTTAAATCAAATAGTTTTCTGGTTGCAATTTTCTAATTTCGATTATGCGTAATATATGCTTTACGCATTCGCGCGTTGAAAGAAATGTTTAATAAAGTAAAAAAATAAATATTAAGCTTTTTTTTTTTTTTTTTTTTGGTTGTAAATTTTGATACTCTTTAGATCAGAATTGTTCTTTATTTCATAAATTACGGTTTCATATTTTTAATTTTATAATTTCTGCATTCCATCTTACCAGATTTAAACTGATCATCAATAATCCGGAAAAACCGATAATTCGGAATCGCCAAAGTCCTGACGAGTCCGGAATAAAGACTTTTGTCTGTATGTGCAACAGGCATGACAATGTCTGCAGGTAGCTTTATCAATAAAAGAAATAATCTTCAACAGGATGAAAAATTCTTCCACGTGTAACATATTCATCTGATTTCACTACTTCATTATCAACTGTTTGGGTTTTAGCACACACTTTCTGGACAATGCTCTGCAGATATCAATATTATAAAAAATTATATTGATAACTTCATGGTTCTAAGCCACAGTTCATCTTTGAGCAGAGAATACGAAAACTACCTAATTTATGGACTAAAATGATAGAGAGTCAGGGGAAATACATTGATACTAATGTAGAAGATTGTATTTTGTTGTTTAAAAATGCAATATTCGTAAAAAAAAAAAAAAAAAAAAGAAGAAGAAGAAGAGAGAGAGAGAGATGCTGGAAACTTCTGCACACACCTGTTAATTGTTTGTTACTTTTAGTCTAAATATTAAAATCTTTTTCCAAAATGCTATCAACAGTGAAGAAAAGAATTATTGTTGCAGCATATTTAACAGGATCATATTATGAAGCCATACGAGTTGAATTTAAAATAAAATTTAAACAACTGCTTATACAGAGCTTAATTAAGTTAATTTATCATAAATTACTGAGAATAGGCAGCATAGCAAACAAAAAAAATTAGACGTACAGCACCTTCAGATAATGTGCAAAGTAAACTTTAGACAGGCATGGTCAGGTTAGATTCAATAATGTACCTATGTCCCTAATTGAATCTAACCTGACAATATCTGTCTGCCATTTCAATGAAACGCTATATCTGACACGTAGCACTGTATGGAAAATGTTATTTTTTATCTCAAATAAACAATGGTTATGTCAAATTGCATTGAATTTATTGCCCATTTCATGTCCTTTAAAAAACTTCATAATTTCAGATACTAAGAATACAGTTTTTTTGGAAAAAAATAGTAATACAGACAAAATTTTCAATTCTTAGATGATTAAAAATGCGGAAAAATAATTCTCAGAGGCTGAAATACCTGATTGTAAATATCATCTGATCTTAGTCTTCCTATAATCATGCTTATGAAAGTATAACTCAGAGGAACACGTCTGCAAAATAATACATAAAAATTAAATAAATGATTAATAATTTAGCAATCCAATAATTTTTTAAATGCACCAAAAAATAAAATATTCAAATTTGAAAGATTTTGCAGAGACAATAATGAAAATTATAAATACGAACAAAGGTAGGGCTGGAATTGGGCACTGAGACTCAGATTGTGGACTTTATATGTTCCCCCCCCTTTACTTTTTTTTTTTTTTTTTTTGATCATACGGCCTGTTTGTGCCGGCTAGGAGGATCAGGGCTGTGCCCTTATAATAATAATAATATACTAATTTCCATTTTAAATGCTAAAGATACTTAATCAATTATTTGATGTTACAGTTATATTATTTTGAATTTTTCACTCTAAAATTAATGCTTTTATTTGAAACTTGCAGACTTTTTGCAATATTATATAATATACAAAACCAGAAATAAAGAATCTTGATTCAACAAACTTCTACAAAATTTTTCTAAAAGTACCTACTTCTATTAGACAAAATAAGAATGATATATTCCCAGAATATTTTCATTTTCAGATTAGAAACTTACAGCATTAAAAATTGAGGACTACAATAACTGTAATTTGAAAATCCATATTTATGTATTAAACACAGTCTTTACAGAGTGTGCACATAAATGCCTACCAATAAGAAATTTAAATATCTCAGGAATCAACAGCATTAGCATCTTGTGATACTTTTTTTTTTTTTTTTTTTCTCTAAAAATTAAATTCATCATGCTTTATCACCAACAAATGGCAGACCAAAACATTATTGTCTATTACTTTAAAATAAGCACTTGAAGGTTATAATGATCCTTCTCTCATTAACAGTAGTAATTTGTGTAATCTTCACTACAAACAGGAGCTTAAGAGATTTTAGTGTATTAGAAGACTCAACCATCTTCCACAAAAGTTCATATTTACCACATTTATGAGGCAAACCGGTAGTGGATTGGGATAATAAATAGCTTTGAAATTTCCTTTCTAAAGTAATGCATTACAGAATGCCTATAATTCGTGCTCATTAAGTAAGCAGAGTGGCAACCAAAATGTTATAAATTTTCTGGATAACCATTATGTTCCAAATAGCAATGCAAGATTTAGATGATTTTTTCGGAAGAACTATTACAGCATGTGAACCTGTTATGCCTCAGATGCTACAGAATACATGGAAGAAGACTAAATATCTCTTTGCAAGTTCGGTGCCTGTGATATTTACTTTCTTGCAGGCAGATCTTTAATTGAATACCTTAAATAAAGTAACATTTGAAGCAATACATCTCAATCATTAGTTCTTGGAAAACATGTTCCTTCACTTTAATGTTATACGAGGGCCATCCAGGAAGTAGATTACGTTTCCGTCTGTGTCCGCTAGGGGCGGGGCTAGCGCGGCCATCTTGGGGTCAGAGCGTTGCGCAGCTCAGTCTGCATCTAGCCGTGCTAGTGAGAGGTTCGTGCTGTGCTCCGTTCAGATACTGTGACGGTTTGAAATGGTTGGTTAATTGAAAATTCCCGCGAGCTGCGAGGTGCGCTCAGTAAGGTTTCTGACTGCAAAAAACTGTAAACCGATAGAAATCTATCGGCAGCTTCGTGAGTGTATGGGGACAACATTCTCACTGAAGGTGGAGCGTCCGTGGGTCATAAGATTTCAAAATGGCCGAACCAAGTTCACGACGAAGATCGAAGTGGGAGACCCAGCATAGTGACCGCCGAATTCTCGAAAAGTCGATGCTAAAGTCCGTGAAAATCGAAATTTCACAATAACGGAACTTCCTTGAGTTTTCCACAAATTCGCGAAGTTTGTTGCACGAAATATCAGCGAAAAGCTTGGTTACCACAAGTTTTGTGCAAGATGGATCCAAAATCTTGACAGAGGACCACAAAAATCAGCGAATGGCTGCAGCGTTGAACTTTTTGGACGCTTACCATAAGGATGGTGACTCTTTACTCGATCGCATCGTTACTGGTGACGAAACATGGGTGAAACATGTGAACTGTTGAAACGAAATTGCAATCAATGCAGTGGGGGCACACAAGTTCTCCCCAAAAACCCAAGAAATGCATGCAAACAATGTCGGCAAGGAAGATGATGGCGACTGTTTTTTGGGACAGAAAAGGTGTAATTTTGATGGACTTCCTGGAAAGAGGCACTACAACTAAACTCTCAAAGGTATTGCCCAAACTCTCCAAAAACTCAGAAGAGCAATTCAAAACAAGCGCAGAGGAATGTTGAGCTCTAAGATCTTGTTGATTCACGACAACGCCCGGCCCCACACGGCAAATGTCACTCGTAAAGTTCTTGAATCTTTTAAGTGGGAGTTGTTTCCTCATCCGCCGTACAGTCCCGACCTGGCACCGAGCGACTTCCACCTATTCCCTCCCAGCAATGAAGAAGTGGCTGGCTATGCAGCGTTTTGATGACGACGCACAGCTGCAAGAAGAGGTAACGAAGTGGTTGAAGGCGCAGGAGGCCGAATTTTTCGACGAAGGAATTTCCAAGCTCGTACATCGCTACGATAAATGCCTTAATTTGTATGGTGACTATGTAGAAAAGTAGTATTTGAGTGTGGCTTTCATCTGTATATAATAAAATTTGTTTCCTATACTTTGTTTATTTTTTTATTCCAAAACGTAATCTACTTTCTGGATAGCCCTCGTAAATGCTGTTTTATACCAAAATACACCTTTCTGAACTAAACCTATACTACCGAACACATTGGGTAATCAAAATATTCCTCTTTTGCTTTTAGAAACTTCATTTCTTTCTATTATAAACCTCCTATTCTTAACAATTAAAAAATCCTTCCACATTTAAAATATTGCTTAATGTCAACATAATTATTACCATTACTTCCTTATTTCATGAAAGATTTATCGATTTAAATATATCCAATGGTTTTTTGTCATTACATGTATATCTCTAATACATGTGATATGTCTTATCTTTAACAGCAAAATGAAATATGATTTCATTATCATGAATGAATGGACTTCACTATTCTCTTAAATTGTTTGCAGTTTCACTTAAACATCCATCAACATTGACAACAGATATTACGAATACATAACATCAGTTTTCATGTTTTCACTAGGTATGCAAATCTAAGAATGTATATAACCATTATCAGAAACTAAAAATATCAGGATTTCTGTATTATTCTACAATCTACTTAATTGATATTATTATTTCATAATTAAATTTTTACCTGCTTATATATTTGATATTTTTACAGCATTACGATTCAAATTTAATCCTTAATCACAAACAACCCGAGCAAAATGCCTTCAAATGCATTACTGCCCATATGAAGTATTTTCCTATAATTTTTAGGTTTTCACTATAGGAGAAGTTCTCTTATCTGTTGCTGCAAATATTTACTTGAGTTACATTAATACTTGAAATCAGTTTCAAAAATTACTTTCCCTCCTACTTGCAATGCGATTTCTAAATTACACATTGATCAAAGAGTAAACTCAGGTAAACATTCTCTCACGTATAGCTTTTGAATCAGAGCTGCATGTCTCATGCCATTATTAGGTGACAGACTTCAGCACCAATAAAATTACACTAACTAATTTATGAAATATTAACTCTATAAAAAACATTGAGTCAGTGACATACATTCTTTGGCAAAAAATTTCAGCACCATGAAGGAAGTGGTTGTTTTTTGATGAAACTGAAATATGTGTATAGCTCATACACAGATAATAAAATAATTTAAAAATCAAGGTCATAGTATCTGTTCATGGGTCACAATCATCCCCTGAGTGTTCAAATTAGTAGTTGGTCGAACCGCCCCAATGCATGCTTGAATTTGGCAAGGCAAGGAGTGGTACAGGTTCCTAATGTCATCTTGCGACACAGTCTGCCAGGCATTCAGTTATCGCTTCAGATCTGCGATATTTTGAGGTGCCCGAATCTGACGGCCTACTATGCCCCAGACATGCTCGATTGGTGAAAGGTCTGGTGACCTTGCTGGCCAAGGAAGAGTATCAACTGCACGGAGACAGTCCAGAGATATGCAAGCGGTATGTGGCCTGGCATTATCTTGTTGGAAAATGGCCCCAGGATGACATGCCATGAAAGGTAATACAACCAGCAGCAGGATGGAATCAACATATCCATGAGCTGTTAAAGATGTATGAAGGATAACTAAAGATGACCTGCTGTCATAAGAAATAGTGCCCCACACCATCACACCAGGGGTTATGGTTGTATGCCTTTGTAAAACAAAGGCTGATTGGAACCGTTGGCCACCGTCCTCTCCAGACACAAACACGGTAGTCATCTGCTTCAAGAGTGAAGCGGGATTCATAGTTGAACTCTATACGATGCCAGTCTGATGGCAAACATGATGATCGGCTGCGACACTACTCCAGACGACTCCGCCAACGCTGTGGGGTCAAAGGCAAATGTCTTAAAGACCTCTGTTAGTGTAACCCCATCTCAGGAAAGCGCCATGAGATGGTGGACGGTACCAGGGGAGGCACAGACGTGGCTGTAGTGTGTTGAATAGGCGAAATTTCGCCATCGCGCCAGTTCATGCCTGACAAACAATCATCTATCTTGCCTCGCATTTGTGATCCTTGGCCTTACAGAACCTTCCTTTCATCGGCAATGTCCTTGTAAGAACCACTGCTGCCAACATTTTTGCACAGCAGCGTCTTTACGCTGCAGGTGGCGCCCTATTGCTCGGTATGCCTACCCAGCTTCACTCAACCATACAATGCGACGACGTTTGAAGTAGTTTAGCTGTCTGTAAGGTCTTTGATATCGTCGTAATGGCATCTTTAGTTGCTTCTTTACAGAATTACAATGGCAGCAAAAAAAAAAAAAAAAAAAAAAAAGATAAAATTTCCGCCTCTGTTACTGGTTTTATACTTTGCGAATTGCATTTCAGCAGGGCAAATTTAATTCCTGTTCATTTGCCTTGAAACTTTGATCATCTGCATGTTCAATCAAGATGTTTTTGCATACCAAATTTTGTCACGATTGCAAAAATCCTTCTTGGTGCTTCGATTTTCCTTTTGCAAAAGAGTGTATTTTAACATCACCATTATGAGGTATG